TTGGCCACGTATTGCCTTGGCATGCAGTCCGCAGGGTATCTGTTCGTGCTGTCCTTTGTATTACTGCGTTTCACACGAGGCCAGGCAGGAGTGCCTGTCGTATGTGACTACCTTTTGGATCAGTGGAGTGTATTCGTCCAGGACTTCGATTCATTCTGTTGCGGTCTTGTCCGGCACTGCGAGGCTGTATGCAAAGAGAGAGGTGGCACGTATCTAGCCCATCGGGAAGGTTTGCACATCGCGTTTTCTGGTTTGAATTTTATTCGCACTCTGCGCAGGGCTCGTATACGACGGCGCCTTGTTGCATTTGCGGAGAAGTGGTCGCACGTAGTATCGGGGCTTCAGCGTCCCCATGTGAAGGGCGTCTCGGTCACGAGCGCTGACATCATGGCCATGGGGGACAGTATCCCGGACTATGTGGCCGTGGCCGTTCAGAAGAACCAGGTGAAGATGGCAGGTAAGTATAACAGCATGGACTGTGTGCGGTGTTTTCTTGCCATTCTTGAGTTTTGCATGGGCTGCGCGCCAGCGGAGTATACCGAGGAGCTGCACCAGTGGTTTCTGAAGCGGCAGTGTCGGAGGTGGAGACGCCATGCTGCGGCGGACCTCGCGTATTTTGGTGTGCTTTCCTGCGACAGTATGACCACAGCATTGGGGCGTATGAGGAGGGCTCTGAACACCACGTCTCAAGTGAGTGTCGCGACCATGTATGTATTGTTCTGCGAGACGCGGCAGGCTATCAACAGGTATTCGCTGCATGGTCTTTGGTACCTCGTGGAGGTGTATGACAAGAGCAAGTCTGTGCGGCAAAACGTTTCGCGTATCCGACATGGGCTAGCATATAGTGTATCGACGCTTTCTCACACAATTCAGGTTCTGGAGGGGATCCGCAGCTGTGTGGGTGTATCACTCGCTGTGCTGCGGAAGGTACCCTGCAAGCGCGCTGGCGGACCTTTGGAGGTGGCGTATCAGTTGGGTCGCCGCCGTCTCTGTCCCAAGGTGGAATTGGACGGTATTCCAGAGTTCCGAGTGCTGGCGAGTTCTCTGAGCGTTGTGACTCAGAAGGTCCAGACGTATGCGAGGCAGCATAGACAGCAGTATCGCGGTTTGGTCAAGGCTGCAAAGGGTCTGGGTATCAAGTACGGGAAGTCGCATACTGTGAAGAAGCTCGCTGCGCTTGTGAAGCGAGGTATGCAGAAGCCTTCAGGCACGGGGGCGCGGAAGAGGAGTTACGAGGAGCTGGTATCCGCAGTGCACGCTCGCGGCGCCAGCGAGTATCAAAGAATGAAAATTCAGGGTAGGTGGGTCACCAGACGTGTATCCAAAGTCAAGTTGGAAGCGTTGCTGTCTGAACCTTGAGGGCGGCGTTCATCTGTATAGTTGCATGTTGTCTGACGCAGGGGTTGACCAGAACTGTATGAAACAAGAGCATACACCGGTAATGACATACACATACACGCACACACACACGTAAACATACTAGTCCGACGCGCATAGCTCTGCCTCTACACGCGGACGTGCACATATACAGTCACATACCTCTAAACTTTTACGTATACATATATAGATATACGCGTACGTCAACTTTGCCCCAAAAATGTGACCAACTCTTGTGTCTGTCTCAGGTCTCTCACACGTATCATGTGCAATTAGTAGTATACGTAACCACTGCGTGTATGGCAAAACTTGCCCCAAAAATGTGACCAGCCGTTGTCTCTGTCTCATGCCTAGTATTACATGTGCAATACGTATTTTACGTGACTACTGCATGTGTGGCAAAATTTGCCCCAAGAATGCGACCAACTGTTGTCTCTGTCTCATGTCTATCACACGTATCATGTGCAATATGTCGTATACGTACCAACTGCGTGTGTCACATAATTTGCCCCAAATATGTGACCAACTGTGGTCAACTGTGGTCTCTGCATTTGTATCATACGGATGATTTGCCATACGTATCATACGTATCAAACTGCAGCCGTATATTCCCAAAGTCGGCACGCCTGCACCAGTCTTCCCACTCGGAAGTGTATCCCCTGCGGTATCGTATGACACTCGACAGTGGCCCAGACTTCGCGCTCTTGTCTGGGCCTGCGGCGGCGACGGGCGCCCCGGTATCCGGGGAGCAGCCGAAGGACCAGAAGAAGCGGGAGTGGCTGAAGGTATACGAGACGTTGCCCGCGCAGTTGCTCAACGTGCATGGGCCTTCGAAGTTCGCCAAGTTGAAGGACGGGCAGGTATGGGCCCAGATGCAGGAGCCGCTGAAGAGCGGGGCCGTATGGATGTCGGAGATGTGCAGCAAGGAGCCGGAGCGGAGGGGTGTCGGTATTAACCGTTTCATTCACGCGATGAAGACCTTCTGCGAGTATCAAAAGGATCCCTCGGTTATGGCGCACAACAAGGCGGTATTGAAGGAGCAGATGTATAACGATCTGTACAAAGGGATTGAGGAGATCCTCCCGGCCTTGCAGTATTGTTTGGCACCCAAGAAGCAGCCTGAGAAGAAGGGTGCTGCTCTCCTCCGTGCGAGCGGTGCGGACGAGGCGGTGCAGGGGACCGCGAAGACGGGGCCGGAGTTGGACAAGTATGCGAAGCAGGTCTATGACTGGCTGGACAAGACTAAACTGTCGCGAGTTCGTATGATGGCCAATTGGCAGAGTTGCGGGGGGTTGGCCTTTGTGGCTCAGTGCCACCATCGGGCGACCACCTGCTTCAGGTATCACGGCAACAGCTTTCACGGAGCTGGTCCAGCGCAGCAAGAGGTATCACTTCAAGAGTTCCAGGCCGCTGTGAAGCTCCGCCACTCGGTCGGCCACAACGGTATGGACGTGGAGGGGGTGAGCGAGGTCTCCGGCGTCAACGACTTCGGGAACGCTTCCTGAGGGCACGGTGTATGAGGCGAATCTTCCAGAGTCGCGCGTGCGCACTGGGGAGGCAGGTGCTGCGTGCCTTTAGACAAGAGTATCTCTTTTCTGCACCTCGGGCGTATATACATGAAGTTGGGAGTGGCAAAAAAAAAAACACAAAAACGTGAACAGCTGGTTCGGGGGTCTATGCTCTCGCGCCCCTGGTGGCACAGTGGGCTGCCGCTCCCAGGTGGCATCGTGGGCTGCCGGCGACGGCGACGGCGAAGGCGACGGCGACGGCGACGGCGACGGCGACGGCGACGGCGACGTCGACGCAGACGGCGACGGCGAGGGTGACGGCGACGGCGGCGACGGCGACGGCGACGGCGGCGACGGCGACGGCGACGGCGACGGCGACGGCGACGGAGACGCGCCCCCGTGGTTGTGAGGAAAATGGTATTGCTCTTAGGGGGGTCTGACCAAGACGCTTCATCCGAGGAAGAATCTGTTCCAATGGTTTTTATGTATTCTCTTTAGGCCTTCGGCCCGAGCCGCAAGACCTGTCTGGGGATCTTGGGGGGGGGCCTCCCAGGGCCCAATGGTTTCTATGTATTCTCTTTAGGCCTTTGGCCCGAGCCGCCAGACCTATCTGGGGATCTTGGGGGGGCCTCCCAGGGCCCTGTTGTTATGTATTCTCTGTAGGCCTTCGGCCTGAGCCGCAAGACCTGTCTGGGGATCTTGGGGGGGGGGCCTCCCAGGGCCCAATGGTTTTTATGTATTCTCTTTAGGCCTTTGGCCCGAGCCGCCCGACCTATCTGGGGATCTTGGGGGGGCCTCCCAGGGCCCTGTTGTTATGTATTCTCTTTAGGCCTTCGGCCCGACCCGCAAGACGGCGACGGCGACGGCGACGGCGACGGCGACGGCGACGGCGACGTCGACGCAGACGGCGACGCAGACGGCGACGGCGACGGTGACGGATCCCAGCCTCAGCCTCAGCCTCAGCCTCGGCCCGCAGACGCGCCCCCGTGGTAGTGAGGAAAATGGTATTGCTCTTAGGGGGGTCTGACCAAGACCCTTCATCCGAGGAAGAATCTGTTCCAACATCAGCCTGCCTCAGCGCCAACATTTGCCCCAATAATGTGACCAACTGGCTGCTGTCTTCGGGCCACCACAGGCTGTCTTGGGGCCACCATGGGCTGTCTTGGGGCCGTCGTAGGCTGTCTTGGGGTCACCATCGGCTGTCTTCGGGCCATCAAAGGCGTCGGGGTCACCATGGGCTTTCTTGGGGGCCACCATTTTCCTGGGTGGGCACCTGGCGACGGCGACGGCGACGGCGACGGCGACGGCGACGGCGGCGGCGACGGCCACGGCGACGGCGACGGCGACGGCGACGCAGACGGCGACGGCGAGGGTGACGGCGACGGCGGCGACGGCGACGGCGACGGCGACGGTGACGGATCCCAGCCTCAGCCTCAGCCTCAGCCTCGGCCCGCAGACGCGCCCCCGTGGTAGTGAGGAAAATGGTATTGCTCTTAGGGGGGTCTGACCAAGACGCTTCATCCGAGGAAGAATCTGTTCCAATGGTTTTTGTGTATTCTCTTTAGGCCTTTGGCCCGGGCCGCCAGACGGCGACGTCGACGCAGACGGCGACGGCGAGGGTGACGGCGACGGCGGCGACGGCGACGGCGACGGCGGCGACGGCGACGGCGACGCGACGGCGACGGCGACGGAGACGCGCCCCCGTGGTTGTGAGGAAAATGGCATTGCTCTTAGGGGGGTCTGACCAAGACGCTTCATCCGAGGAAGAATCTGTTCCAATGGTTTTTATGTATTCTCTTTAGGCCTTCGGCCCGAGCCGCAAGACCTGTCTGGGGATCTTGGGGGGGGGCCTCCCAGGGCCCAATGGTTTCTATGTATTCTCTTTAGGCCTTTGGCCCGAGCCGCCAGACCTATCTGGGGATCTTGGGGGGGCCTCCCAGGGCCCTGTTGTTATGTATTCTCTGTAGGCCTTCGGCCTGAGCCGCAAGACCTGTCTGGGGATCTTGGGGGGGGGCCTCCCAGGGCCCAATGGTTTTTATGTATTCTCTTTAGGCCTTTGGCCCGAGCCGCCCGACCTATCTGGGGATCTTGGGGGGGCCTCCCAGGGCCCTGTTGTTATGTATTCTCTTTAGGCCTTCGGCCCGACCCGCAAGACGGCGACGGCGACGGCGACGGCGACGGCGACGGCGACGGCGACGGCGACGTCGACGCAGACGGCGACGCAGACGGCGACGGCGACGGTGACGGATCCCAGCCTCAGCCTCAGCCTCCGCCTCGGCCCGCAGACGCGCCCCCGTGGTAGTGAGGAAAATGGTATTGCTCTTAGGGGGGTCTGACCAAGACCCTTCGTCCGAGGAAGAATCTGTTCCAACATCAGCCTGCCTCGGCGCCAACATGTGCCCCAATAATGTGACCAACTGGCTGCTGTCTTCGGGCCACCACAGGCTGTCTTGGGGCCACCATGGGCTGTCTTGGGGCCGTCATAGGCTGTCTTGGGGTCACCATCGGCTGTCTTCGGGCCATCAAAGGCGTCGGGGTCACCATGGGCTTTCTTGGGGGCCACCATTTTCCTGGGTGGGCACCTGGCGACGGCGACGGCGACGGCGACGGCGACGGCGACGGCGGCGGCGACGGCCACGGCGACGGCGACGGCGACGGCGACGCAGACGGCGACGGCGAGGGTGACGGCGACGGCGGCGACGGCGACGGCGACGGCGACGGTGACGGATCCCAGCCTCAGCCTCAGCCTCAGCCTCGGCCCGCAGACGCGCCCCCGTGGTAGTGAGGAAAATGGTATTGCTCTTAGGGGGGTCTGACCAAGACGCTTCATCCGAGGAAGAATCTGTTCCAATGGTTTTTATGTATTCTCTTTAGGCCTTTGGCCCGAGCCGCCAGACCTACCTGGGGGGTTCCCAGGGGAAGTCTGTGAGGCCTGCGGATTCAAATAAAAAGATGATGTGCGTATGCCTGCTCTGGTCGCATGTGCGGCGGCGGACTTCGTCTTTCGGACGGCGCTCGCATGAGAGTTCTGCGTGTATGGTCTGTGTTTCACTCGTCCAATGTTCGCGGTCGTATGGACTTTGGCATTTGGGCACATGTATGCGGTTCGTTTCTGTTTGTACGTAGCGGTTTCTGCTCAAGCCGCTTACTGTATGTCGCGAGATCGTATTCACCTCCACATTGCCAGCCTTCCGTATGACTTTCCAGATGGCCGGTCGGCTTGACCCCTTGACGGGCGAGTATTTCCCGTCGGATGATGAAGTGAGCTCGAGTATGGATCGCTGGCATACGCCACCCGGCCACGAGGCGTATGCACGCCGCTGGTTGAAGCAGTGTGGCTCGGAAAGGTGGTTCGCGTGCGGTATCTTCTTCCCTCTTCTATGGGAGGGTGTTACGGGCGTGTGCCTCGCCGTATCGAGCGGTATGTCCACGGGGCAGTCGAAGATCAACAACGACCCGGAGTACCAGCACAGTATGGGGGGCATCGCCGAGCCCGAATGGCTGTACTTCGACGCGTACTTTCACGCGAACGCGGTATTCGGGAACTTCTCGGTATTCCAGGATGAGAGGCTTGGGAAGCCCATTGGCTACCTTGTGCACGTATTCGACACGCTGTGCACCGCAGCAGGTATCGTCGCCTGGAAAGCCAACCTCTTCGTCCACCCGGGTCAGTGGGTGTATCGCAGTATGCGGTATTTGCTCGGTCAGCTCGCTATTCCCATTCATGCGGAGATCGTATCCGGCCTCTCCTACAGGGCCCTGGCCACCTTGGACGTATTCATTGCGTACCACGCGGCCTTCATGGGTACGGACCCGCAGAAAATGGCCCTTTGGAACGTATCCCCTGAGGTCGGCACAGAGATCACGTATCCGCGTCAAGACCAGTGGTGGTGGTTGCCCGTATGGCGGTCGTATGGTCAGAGCGACGAGCTTCCGAACATGCTCGATTACCAGGCCTTGCCACCGCAGGTCCACAACGTGCTCGCGGTAGCACTGCCGTATGCAAGCACCGGCCTTCCCGCCAGCAGGCGTATCGGCAATCTCATTGGGCATCTGGGACCGCACGGGTATCAGCCAGGCCCGCACGTGTATCAGCCAGGCAGCCGGGCACCCACGCGCCCGCTCCGCGCCATCGCAGACGACGATGCGTCGCGCCTTTAGTATGCTTCTGGATGCGAAGACCATTCGGTTGAGTATACCCCTACGTGTGACTGGACCTGTTTGCGAAAGCAGGAGAAAGTATGGCACCCCTTTGTGTCCAGAGCCGCGCCGTCTGCGTTCTTCCTTTCTCGCTTCTCTCCTTTCCTCCTTGTCCTGCTCCTCCTCCCCCTCTTCCGCCTTGGAGCCGTATTGGAACTGTCGATGGCCATCTCCCTTTCTCCCTCGCATGTCTGCTTGTACATACGTATAATTTCAGAACTTACCGTGCATGCGATCGTTTACAACATGGTGGACCGTGCGTATGTCACGAACCTTGTATACATGTGTTTCTCTCCCTCCGTCTGGCTGTGCACGCGCGCGTTGGGCACTGAGAGTTAGGATCATAGCGCCATGAGTCTATGAGCAATGCATGCGTCATCCTTGGGACTGTATAACATCAGTGTAACACATGTACTTCTGTAATCGCATCCCCACGAATTTGCCCCAAAAATGTGACCAACTATCTTGGCACTGCGTACCATCTCACGTGTACCGTGTACCACATCATATGTAACAGATGTGATCAACCTCTGTGGGTGTGTACCCCACGCCAGTGTAGTAGCCAGGGTCGTCCGCACGCCACGAAGTGAAGTGTCCCAACGTCATAGGGCGGGAAGCTGGGTGTGGGTGGTCTCGAAGAGTCGTTTGGATATTTGGTAGAGCTTGAACGGCCCCCCCACGAAGTGGGGGTATTGGCTGGTGTCGCAAGAAAACCCTGGCACTGGGGAGAACACTGAGCGTTCGGGTAAAATGATTGTTGTTGTTGTTGTTGTTGTTGTTGTTGTTGTTGTTCATGTTGTTGTTTTTGTTGTTTGTTGTCGTCGCCCCCCTGCGACCCGGCCCGGGACCCACCCGCGACCCGGCCCGCGACCCACTCCCGACCCACCCGCGACCCACCCCGCGACCCGCCCGCGACCCGTCCCGCGACCCGCCCGCGACCCGTCCCGCGACGCACCCGCGACCCGTCCCGCGACCCATCCCACGACGCGCCCGCGACGCACGCGCGACCCACCCGCGACACGCCCGCGACCCACTCCGCGACCCACCCCACACTGTTTCAACGACAATCGGCGCCTGCGGCGGGTTCGCTGGGCGCCTGCGGCGGGCTTCTGCAGAACCTCGCAGACTGCCGACGTCCCCGCCGCCGCGTGACTGCGGGGATGCTACGCAACATCTCTCGTTCCTGATTGCGCGCCAGAGCTATGCAAAGGACGTTCCTTTTCAAAGGGGTGCCCTCGCCACAATGCCAGACTGACTGTGATGGTCTTTCTACTAGAAAGTGAAAAGGAAAAATTGAATTCGAGTGAAAAGGGGGCAGCGCCTTCGAGTGAAAAGGAAAAATTGTAGGCCGGGGGGGTGTATTCCAGCATCGCTGCTGCATCTTTGGTTTGCACTGGTCCTCCTCCTCCTCCTCCTCCTCCTCCTCCTCCTCCTCCTCCTCCTCCCTCCCTCCTCCCCCCCTCAAACGTCGAACCCATTCGACCCGTCCTGCGGCGCGCTCTAACCGACAGAACATCGAGGCGGATCCAGCCGTGGCGACGGGAGCATCCGCCTCGGGCCCCCCAACAGAAGGCGAAAGGCGCTCCCAAAACCTCCCATCCTCGAGCCTCGACTCGCGACGACGCGAGATGTGGCCCGCTGCCGCGGCGCGCTCCTGGAGTCCAGGCCCGACCGGGCCGACGCGTCGGTGGCCCCGCTGGCGCGGCCGAACGCCGCGGCGAAATCGGCCAAGAAGGCCTCCGGGTCCTGGCTGTGGGGGCGCGCCCCGAGGAAGGTGAAGGTTCGAATGGCAGAGGAGCCGCCCTCGTTTTCGAGCCCCCCCCCACAGGCGAAGCCTGTAAGCAAACGCGCCTGGGGGCAGGATCGACCAGGACAGGGCTGTCCAGGGAATTCCCCAGGCTTGCAGAAAACGCCTGGGACATTGTTTTCCTTCCATTGAAGGTGAGCAGGGGGACGACGAGCAGGGAGGAGAAATCTGAGGATAAGGAAGGGAGGAGGACCAGTGTAAACCCAAGACGCGTCAATAACGCTGCAATGCGCCCTCCCTCCAAATGCCCTCTTCGTAAGCACATACAAGAAACAATTTCGTTGCGGGATGTGCCCCAATGAAAGACATCCGTGTGATAAGTCTCAATCCTGCAAAACACCATTCCACTCCATACGATTCCTCAAAGCTGCTGCGATTTCTTATGCTGAGTGTGTGCGGCGCTAAGGCGAGAGCCAACTTTCGAAAAAGAGCCGGTCTCCAGCCTAGAAGCTGCTGCAATCTTTTAAAACGAATGTGCACAGCGCGGAAGCGAGAGCCGCATGTGCTTCATCTTTGAAACTCGTGCAGATCTCAAATTTTAAATCATAATTTGCGAGGAAATCTCGAGCGACACGACCAGCCTGGCCTACCGACTGGTCTGAGGGTGCGACAGGGAGGAGTTATTCATCAGGAAGGAGGCTGGAAGATGAGTGGAGGCGAGGAGGAGGACTCAAAGAAAGAACGCTTTGCCAGACGACCGGCCGGCCACGCGACCTCGGCTGGGCCTCCTCGCTGCGGGGCTTAGGATGAGAAGGATGGGAAAACAAGGAGGGAGGGATGGGCAAGGAGGAGGAAGAGAGCGGCAAGGAGGAGGAAAGGAAGGGATACAAGAGGAGGGAGATGGGATGGAGGGAGGGAGGGGCGAGAAGGAGGGGAATGGAGAGATGGATGGAGGGTCGAGGAAGAAAGAGCGAGAAGGGGGGAGGATGGTGGAGGAAGACGAAGGAGCCCCTACTCCCTCCCCCTCCACGTCCTTCTGGCGCGCAGGCTCTCACGAGGCTCTCAACTTCTTCGATGGACGAGAAAGCACAGGACGGCTCAGAGACCCTCCTCCTCCTCCTCCTCCTCCTCCTCCTCCTCCTCCTCCTCCGCCTCCTTCTCGTCCTCCGTCCTCCTCCTGCTCCTCCTCCTGGCGCGCAGGCTCTCGCACTCTCCTCAATCCCCTCGATGAGCGACTAGGACAGGGATGGCACAGATACCCTCCTCCTCTTCCTCCTCCTCCTCCTCCTTCTCCTCCCTGCTCCACTTCCTCCGCCCTCTGTCCTCCCTCCTCCTCCTCCTCCTCCTCCTCCTCCTCCTCCTCCTCGTCCTCCTCCTTCTCTCCTCCTCGTCGCTGCTGCTCCTCCTCCTCCTCCTCCTCCTCCGCCTTCTCCTCCTCCTCCTCCTCCTCCTCCTGCTGATCCCCCCTCTCTTTCTCTCTTCGTCGTGCCATCGGACTGAACCCGTGGTTTCAGCCCCTCCTCCTGCCCGCCTCCTCCCCCTCTCCGTCCGTCCTCCCGCTGGCCCGGAGGGGCGCAGTGCGGCCGAGGGCGGGGGGGTGCCTCGAAGAGCGGGCTCGGCAGCTTCGCCAGGGGCAGGCGACCTCGCGAGCGAGGGAAGAACGCCTCGTCCTCGTCCTCATGTTCGTCGTCGTCATCCTCCTCCTCCTCCTCCTCCTCCTCCTCCTCCTTCCTCCTTCCTTTCCCCTCTCCCTTCTGATCCCTCCTTCTCCCTCCCTCCTCCTTATCCTCTGCCTACCTCCTCCTCGTCCTCCTCCTCCTCCTCCTCCTCCTCCTCCTTCTCCTCCTCCTCCTCCTCCTCCTCCTACCTGCTCCTCCTCCTACCTGCTCCTCCTCCCCCGTGCTCCTCCTCCATCTTCTCCTCACCTCCTCCTCGTTATCCTCCTTGTCCACCTCCTCCTCCTACTCCTGCTCCTGCTCCTCCTCCTTCCTCCTCCCTTCTCCCCTCTCCCTTCTGCTCCCTCCTTCTCCTCCTCCTGCCTCCTCCTCCTCTTCCTCCATCTCCTCCTCGGGCTCCTCGTCCTCTTCCTCCTCGTCCTCCCTTCTTCCTGCTCCCTGCTACTGCTCCTCCTGCTCCTCCTGCTCCTCGTCTCTCGTCCCTCCTCCTCGAATGTACACAGCCTCCGTTCCTGATTGCGCATCGCCCGATGGTGTATTTTTGGGGATCCAGGTCTGCTAGGAAACCAGTCGGCGGATGGATACAACTCAGTGCAATGGGAAGCGATGGGTGCGAGGAGAAGGATGTCAGATGTGGCGCTCGCTCACCTAGCTTACCTCTCTCCTCTGTCCTCTCCTTTCGCAGGGCGATCAGCCGTACTAGTTCTTCGGTGTGCACACATGATTATGCGCATGCAAGGACATACGCGCCATGACTTTGTATTCGCTATAGATCCGCCACCGTGACTTGTGCACGTTGAAGCGTGGAAGAATGCCGATGTCTGCCTGGTAGGGTTTCTATCTTCTAATATGGGACCCCCGCCTACTCGCGTCCAGTCGCATGCACCGCCCCCCCCTCCCGAGGCCACGATCCGTCGTACAACAACAACTATGGGTCTGCGTTCCTGACCGATCCCTCGCAGAACAAGTATGTGTCAGCGTCCCGAACTTCCAAGGCGGTCCAGGCAAGCAACCAAGGACACCAAGATGGCTCAATATGCTTCGAAGACGGCACAATATGGCCCCACGGCTGCCCAGTATGGCTTCAAGATGGCTCAAGATGCCTCCAAGAGGGCCAAAAAGGACCACACGCGGACCTCCAACATGCTCCGTAGAAGCCAACATCGATGCTTACCCTTTAGTTTTGAATGATTTTCGCATTCCCGCCTTTTCGGGCTTCGATCAGCTCAGGAAGTACCCAAAAAGCCTCCACGATGGTCCCAAGGCGGCCCAAGAGGCCCCCACGAGGGTCCCAAGTCGGCGCTGTAAATCCCACGATGGCCCAATAGCCCAAGAAGTATCCAAGACAACCCAAGAAGGCCTCCCGTGGGTCCCAAAGCGGCCTTCGAAGACCTTGTGCCTGCCCACGACGGCCCCATGACGGCCCCCAGGCACCCACCATACGGCCAAGAAAGCCCCACGACGGCCCAAGAAAGCCCCAAAACGGCGTAAGAGTGCCCCAAGACGGCCCCGAAGGACCCCCACGACTGCTTAACATGAGGCCAAGACAACCCCAAGGCGGCCCAAGCGAGTCCCGTGAGAACTCCTCAAATAGTGAAGACGAGAGGTGACACATTTGACGGCCTTCTTCTTCCTTCTCCTCCTCCTCCCCCTCCTCCTCCTCGCCATCACCATCATAATCCTCATCCTCATCCTCACTCTCAGTATAAGCGTCATCATAAACAACAGCAGCAGCATCAGTATCATCAGTATCATCAACAACACCATCATTATCATCATCAACAGTACCATCATCAGTCTCATCATAAGTCTCATCACTATCATCATCATCTCCATCATCCCCATCATCCCCATCATCATCATCAACATCATCATCATCAGCATCATCATCATCATCATCATCACCATCATCATCATCATCATCATCATCATTGTCGTCATCATCATCACCAACATCATCATCATCATCATCATCACGATAAGCATCACCATCATCAACATCACCACCACCATCACAACCATCACCACCATTACCACCATCACCACCATCATCACCACCACCACCATCAACGTTAACATCAACATCAACATCATCATCATCATCATCAACATCACGACAATCACCGCCAACATCACTGCTCTCCCAACCCTGGAGACACGAAACTTCACACGTGACGGCGTCCCGTGACCCCTCGAACAATCGCCCCCCGGGATGCCTGGCTGGCACGGCGGCGGGACTTTTGCCGCAGGCAGCTGGACAGACATAACACTCGTACTACTTCGTCTTCCCATTCGCAACACATGTGCATTCGTACCAAACGCCGATCTCGAAACACAGACGACCACATCACCATTTTTTCAGAACATGTGTGTTCGATGTTTCAAAGTTCACGCTTTTCACGCTTTCCGACGCTCTAAGACCGCCCCAGAGGCTCTCAAGACCGCCCCAAGACGGCCCAAGAAGCCCCCAAGAGAACCTCGAGACAGCCCAAGATGGCCCCCCTCCGCCACCGTGCCTCTCGGTACGGAGTGGGCGTGTCCTCAGTTCCCAGCCCTCACTCCTGAGGAGTCTCTTAGAGGGCCGGAGCCCGCATTGCCAAATCTTTCGGGCCTTGGCGCGGTTCCCCTGGGGCTTCCCGCTTCACATTCTCGGGCCCAGGACAGCCCCACGACAGGCCACGAGGGCTCTAATAGGCCCTCAAGACGGTCCAAGAGCGCTCCAAGGCGCCCAATGATCGCCCCAAGACGCCGAAGACGGCCCCCAGACAGCCCAGGAGGCCTCCACGACGCCGCAAGAGGCCTCCGAGAGGCTACTCATGAGGGCCCGGAGAGGCCAGAATCGCTCATTTTCGTAAGTTCTGTTTTCGATGTTCTTGCGTTCTCGCTTTTCTAGCTTTCCGACGCTCCAAGACCTCCCCAGAGGCTCCCAAGACCGCCCCACGACGTCCCCCAAGAAAGCCCCGAGGCAGCCCAGGAGGGCCCCCAGACGGCCCAAAAAGCTGCTCAAGACGGGCCAAGCGGGCCCCAAGACCCCAGAATGGGACCTCGAACAAAAGAACTCCCCAACAGAACTCCCCCCTGGGGCTTTGGCCCGTCCCGCCGGGGCGGCGGTGATTCGCCGTAGGCGTCTTCGATCCGCCGCTCCCTGTGGGCTCGCCACAGGGGTGCAAGAGAGTCTTCGCCCTGGCCAGCTGCGTGGCGTCTGGCTGCGCACGCTGCGCATCTCCGGGCACCGTCTCCACGCCGGCGCGGCGCGGGCCTGCTGAGCCTCTCTCTTGCTCCTCCTCCTCGCCTCTCCTCCTCCTCCTCCTCCTCCTCCTCCTCCTTGCCATCCTCCTGCTTTGATTCTTTTTTATCCGTCAACTTTTTCTCAATTCTTCCTCATCGTTCCACTTTTTCTCAATTCTTCCGCATCCTTCAACCTTTTTGCAACTCTCCTGCCTTCCTGCCTCCCCCGACCGCAGGGCCTCGCACAACGTGACGGGCGTTCAGGTCCAGGAGGCGGGCGTCCTCGGGGGGATTATGCTGCGGGCGACCGCCGCGGCAGTGCAGCGTCGGACATCGAGGATCGAGGTGGAAGAGAGCGACCGTCGCTAGAAGAGTGGAAGAGGAGTCGCAGGGAGAGGGCAGGAGGAGCAGGATGCTGATGCCGATGCTGATGATGATGCTGCTGATGATGATGATGCTGCTGATGATGAATATGATGATTATGGTTGTGATGCTGATGCTGATGATGCTGATGCTGATGCAGATGATGATTATGATGATGAAGATGATGACGCTGATGATGATGATGATGATGATGATGATGATGAGGATGATGAGGACGATGCTGATGAGGATGACGATGATGCTGATGATGAGGGTGACGAGGAAGAAGAAGAGGATGATGAGGATGAGGATGAGGATGAGGATGAGGATGAGGATGAGGATGATGATGATGATGATGATGATGATGATGATGATGATGATGATGATGATGGTGCTGATGATGATGATGATGATGATGATGATGATGATGATGATGATGAGAAGAAGGAGGAGGAGGAGGAGGAGGAGGAGGAGCGAGGATGATGAGATGAGATGAGACGACTCCCAGGAGGACAGTCCAAGGAGGGAGGGGCCAGCCCAGTACAAAATGGGGGCTGGGTGCGCAATCAGGGGGAGATTTTGAGAGGACGAGAGTGGTGGCCACATGCCACACTCGCCCTCAGCGACAGGTGCACCCGCTCCAAAACTTACACCTTGCTGCAAGCCTCCTCTCGAGCGCGAGCCCACGTAAGGAGGCGTGCCATTCGAGCTTCATACGGGATGGCGCTGTCCGATGAATACTGCACGACAGACGTCGACGCTCGGACATCCCGCGCACTCGCAACACTGAGACCGACTCGAGGGGCAGGGATGGCTCGGTCGATCAACGCACGAATTCGGGGATTCGGGGCCAGCCCTCTCCGAAATCGAGACAGAATCATTTTTCCTGTACTGGTGGATGGGGCGCAGGGCCTGGCTAACTTGATGGCCTTCTCCTGACTCCACCCTCCACACTTCAGACATAGCAGGGAACCCCGTCGAGCCTCACTCTCGACTTCGGCACGGCACTGCACGGGAGGCCGAGTCCAAAGAGGACGGGAGACGCCGAGCCCGAGGGAGAGAAGCTGCACGAGGCGAGCGCGGTGCTGCTCCCAGGCGCAGAGGTCGCCGTCGCGGAACCACTTGCACATGCTGGACCTGCGCACCTCGCCCGGCGCTCCCGCTTCTCGTCGCCCGCCGCGGCGGACCCCTACACCCCCTCCTCCGTCTCCTCGCCGCCTCCGCCTGCACTCCTCCTCCTCCTCCTCCTCCTCCTCCTCCTCCTCCTCCTCCTCCTCCCTGCCTCCTCCTCCTCCTCCTCCTCCTCCTCCCTCCTCCTCCTCCTCCTCCTCCTCCTCCTCCCCCTCCTCCCCCCACTCCCCCTCCTCCTCCCCTCCTCCTCCTCCTCCTCCTCCTCCTCCTCCTCCTCCTCCTCCTCCTCCTCTGCCTCCCCCTGTGCACTTCCTCCTCGCCCCCGCTTCCCGCTCCTCCCCGCCGGCTGGCAGCAGCGGGCGCAGCAGACGATGCCATACCCCCCCCTCCCCTCCTCCTCCGCAGGCAGGCGGCCCCTCGCCGCCTCGGGGGGGGGGGGGGGGGGGCAGAGCGCAGCTCTGCTTGAGTCGGGCGTTTCCCCCCACAGGCGGATTTTGGACGACAAACGAAAAACAGTCAAAACGTATTCGAGCAGTGCTCAAAAATACTCAAAGAATCGTCCCCAGACTGTTTTTTCCCCATGTCCTAAGATGGGATTCTTGTTATTACTTGGACGCCTCCTACTCCTCCTTCTCCCTCCTCTTCTCGTCCCCTCCTCTTCCCGTCTCCTCATACGAGACTTACTCATGTCCAGACTTACTCAGACACAGACTTACTCGTACTGAAACCTACTCATACCCAGACTTGCTCATACCCAGACGTACACATACACAAACTTACTCATACACAGGCTTACTCATATTCAGGGCCAGTTTGTGGGGATGTCTCGGGCGGTTTGCTCGTTTTCATGCCCAACATCCTTGGCTTTCAGAGCAGATTTTGAGGATGTCTCAGGCGGGGCGCTGGTTTCAGCACCCCTAAAGGGAGCCGCCAGGGGTGTTTGCACGGGCCCGTTCGCGGCCAGTTTGTGGGGATGTCTCAGGCGATTTGCTGTTTCATGCCCAGCATCCTTGGCTGTCAGAGCAGATTTTGAGGATGTCTCAGGCGGGGCGCTGGTTTCAGCACCCCTAAGGGGAGCCGCCAGGGGTGTTTGCACGGGCCCGTTCGCGGCCAGTTTGTGGGGATGTCTCAGGCGGTTTGCTCGTTTTCATGCCCAACATCCTTGGCTTTCAGAGCAGATTTTGAGGATGTCTCAGGCGGGGCGCTGGTTTCAGCACCCCTAAGGGGAGCCGCGGGGTGTTTGCACGGGCCCGTTCGCGGCCAGTTTGAGGAGGGGGAATGAATGGGAGGCTCATATTCAATCATACTCAAAGCTCACTCTGACTCATACTCACTCACTTGCATTCGGATTCACTCGTCTTCGTCGGCCCTGTCGCCCACGTGGACGCGCTATTATAGTTAAGCGATCATGAACAGACGCTCACTATGGCATGACGTAAAACATGAAATGCACATATGGGGAGCTCCACACAATGAGTGATTGGCCATTTTTGAATCTTCCTCCTCTAGAGGGACAAGCCCGACTTAAAGCTCTGCCTTCCATGCCGAATGGAGGACAGCAAGATCTCCCCCCTGCTCCTCACCCAGCTCGCCCGCGGACCCCGGGCGGGCCATGGAGCTTGGGGACACCGCGCGCGCGGACTCCAGCCTGGCCTTGCCCCGCAGCAGCTGGAGGACTAGGAGGAGGATGAAGATCGAACTTCGATGATCGTGTTTTTGTTAGCGTTGCTGCTGTTGTTGTTGTTGTTGTTGTTGCTGTGGTTGCTGTTGTTGTTGTTGCTGCTGCTGCTGTTGTTGTTGTTGCAATCGTTGCTGCCGGTCCTATTGTTTTGTCATCTTCGGGCCTCGGGCGTGCCTCCCCTCAAAGCTCTACCCAGAACGCACCCCAGGACAGGACTGGGGGCCGATCTTCAAGGGATGGGGAGGACGAGGAGAAGGAGAAGGAGGAGAAGGAGGAAGACGAGGAGGAGGCGGGAGGAGGATACGCGAGGGAAGGCTGCAGATGACGAATAAGAAGATACGGAGGATCAGGAGGAGGAGGATGGCGACCGGAGGGAGGGATGAGAGAGGGGGGATGGAAGGGAAATATGAGCATGCGTATGATGATGAGGCGGACAAGCAGGATGGAGGGGAGAGGAGGGACTAGGGATGGAGTAGGGGAGAAGGAGAAGAGAGGACAAATGAGGAAGGATTGAGCAGGAGAAGGAGGAGGATAATGAGGTGGGGGGATAGACGAGGATGATGTGTAGGAGGGGGCGGGGGGAGGATGGATGGATGTGGGGGGAGGGGGATCTAGAGGATGGTTTGAGGGGGTAGGGAGGAGGAACGGGGAGAAGGAAAGAAGGGGCCCTCGTGCGAAGTGTGCCCATCGCCCTTATACAATAAGCTACAGTTTGCTTGCACGAATCTACTCTGAGGAATAACGTATTCACGGGGCGCAAGGAGGTGGGATAAGAATGAGGATGAGGATGAGGAGAAGGAGGAGGAGGAGGAGGAGGAGGAGGAGGAGGAGGATGAGGAGAGGAAAAAGGAGGAGGAAGAGGAGGAGGAGGAGGGGGAGGAGGAGGAGGAGGGGGAGGAGGAGGGGAAGGATGATACGGCACAACGGGACCGAAACCAGCGCCACACGGAGCGACAGAACGGCCCTACTCAGAAAGCCTCAAGTTGTGCTGGCAAGAGGCACGGATGTTGCCTAATCGCAGTAACCTGGTGGCAACGCGTGGATGTATGTTGAGAAACTCATTGGCCAATCATAGCCCCACCGTGTTTCGCAGCAGGGGCAGTCAGGAGGCGAACTGCGGCGCGAGCACCACTTACTGTCATCACCACGACGTGCGGTCAGCCTCTGTCGGCATAGGGCGTCCGTGCTGGTGCGCACTCCACGCGCGCGGTCCTGACCGGCACGCGTCTTCTGATCAAGGCCAGATGTGTGGGATAGGCCGATGCTCTCGCTCATTCGCTTGCTGGTGCCCGTGATGCCGCAAGCACCATCCGTCCTCCTCGGATCGGCGACGCCAGCGGCCAAGCGATCGGCTCCGCACCAGTCAGGATCGAGAGGCTGTAGAGCAGCAGTCGAAGGTGACGGGCGGTCGTGCGGAGTCCCGTGGTCAGCAGGAGGGCCCTGGCCAGGACGGGGGCCCGGGGTCCTTCGCAAGCGTGGCCGCGTGGACCAGCGGCACCACTTCGGCGGACAGCACGAGCGGATCCAGCGGCTTGGTCGTCCAGCACCTGGGCCAGAGCACCCCCCCCCCGTATCGTGGGGCGGCACCCAGTGTGACGCACGCAGCCGAAGGTCTGCCACACGGAACCTCGACAGAGGCCGAAGCCCCTCTCGGGCCCCGACTGGATGCACGAGGAGCTCCAGTGGATGAGCAATGGACGAACCCAAAGAGCACTAGAACCCCTTCCGACACCGAGGTGGCCCCACTCCCCAAAAGGCTCCGACTGTGGCGCCCAACCGCGCGTGGAGGGCGCGCGCAGGAGCGCGCCGCCGCCCGTGGGGGGGGAGGAGGAGGAGGAGGAGGAGGAGGAGGAGGAGGAGGAGGAGGAGGAGGAGGAGGAGGAGGAGGAGGAGGAGGAGGAGGAGGAAGAGGAGGAAGAAGAGGAGGAGGAGGAGGAGGAGGAGGAGGAGGAGGAGGAGGAAGAGCGCGCCGTCGTGCCGCGAGGGTGCACGGCACACCCGCGCGGCACGCGGACCTCTCCCGGTGGGCGCTCTGGCTGCAGCGCCGCACGGGCCGCGCAGGAGCGCAAACCCGCCGTGCGCGGGCGACAGGAGAGCGCGCCGCCGCGCCGCGAGGGCGCGCCGCTCTCGGCCGCCGTGCGCGGCGAGGGCGCCTCGCCGTCGGTCGGGCACGTCCAGGCGGATCTTGGATGACCAATCAACAATACTCAAACACGGCTCAAACATGGCCAAAACCAATCAAAAAATCTTCGCCTTCGGCCGGGCACGGCCTCCTGCAGGCGGATTTAGGATGACGGGTAAGCAATGCTCAAACACAGGCTCACAGACATGGCCCAACATAGTAAAACAACATCGTCGCCACAACATCTATACATACTTGTATACACTGGAAGATATTTTTTGGCTACTTTTGAATATTTTCCTGAAGAGGGGCGTGCCCGACTTGAGCCTCGCCAACGGCGGCACGCGGCCGCCGTGGCTCGCGCGCAGCCGGCGCGGGGGCAGCGGGCCGCCTCTCTCCGCCCCGGCGAGCGGGGGCCCTGGGCAGCAGAGGCCTCCTGCATGGCTGTCCGCGCGGCCTGGAGGTGCATCGCCGAGGCGGCGGCGATGCGCGGGCGATGCATTCTTCAATTCCAAGAACTTGTTTGCCAATTCAAGAAACCTGGTTCTTGAATTCACAGAATGTTCTTTGAATTCAAGAGCATACTTTTTAAAAACAAATGCCATTGGCGTGGAGGAAAGTTGGGCTCCACGTCGAGCCGCATGGCCGAGGCATCGGCGATGCGGCGAGATCCCCCGACCCCATGTGCTCGGACCCCCCCCATGGGAGGCCCATAGAGGCTTGGGTTCCTCGGGGCCTAGTGGGCCTTCGAGGCCCGGAGGGCGCTGGAGACAAGGATCGGGTTGGGTCTGGTAGCGGTGCCTGCTCGTGGTCCAGGAGTTCAAGACAGGCTGGTGAGCGGCGAAAGCTCCTCTGGATCCCGAGCTTCGCCCTTGGCGGGGTCGGGGTGCTTTTCCGCTGGAGGGAGGAAGGCAGGAGAATGGCGAAGGGGGCGATGAGACTCCAAAGCCCTGCCTCCTCCGCCTCCCTCCTCCTCCCTCGTCTCCTCCTCCCTCTTCTTCTCCTTGTTCTTCTTCTTTTTCTTCTCCCCCCCTCCTTCTACTATTGCTGCTAGTCCTCCTCCCTGACCTCTTCGCTCCCAAGAGTCCCTCGGCGTCCTCCTCGCTGCCCGTCCCCTGGCGAGGAGGAGGGCTCAAGGGCGTCTTCAGAACACCCTGGTCGGACGAACGCTCGCACCGGCAGGTAGCCCCAGGCTGGTGCACAGGGAAGCT